TACAATTACAGTAACAATGTCAATGTTGCTACTTATATTTGCAAAATATAATGGAAAAAAGAATTTATGTAATAATGTACTACCAGATAAAACAATACTAATATAAGATTATAATTTTAATATTTATTTGGTTGCATATAATTATATTTTAAATTATAATTTATTTTATAAGTAATAACAGTACTATTTTTATTTTGCTATTTATGATGTCATTCTTTTGAAGGACACTAATGATCATGTTTTTCTTTATAATTAATTCCATAATATTTTTCTATGGCAATTGTTATTAAAAATGCCGGAATACCAAGCATTAAACCTCTAGACCAAAAAATTTTAGATTGTTTCTTGAGGGGCATTCTTAAGTCATGATACCGCCAAACTTCATTTCTCAGCCAAGGATCCTTCAATCCCTTTTTTGCTAATTCTTCTCGAACCATCATAAGTTCTGGTACATCTTCTACTTTATAAACATCAGGACTTGGTACTTTTGGAATTTCATCTCCATGACCCATTTTCTATAATTAATTTAAATTTAAATTTTGATTACTTGATTTAGATGTTAATCTTATTAATAATTTGTTACATTATGTAATTATTTTAGTGTACTTATTGATAATATGTCGTGTACATATTATTATAACAACATTTATACAACAGAAAGTAATGAAAATATTCTTACAATAAATAAAAGTTTAAAGAAAATATATCATTTCAGTGATATATAAGTTCTAATGATAAAGGTTAGTTCATTACATTTGTCTACTATGAAAGTTAAACGTAATGTCAGAAAATTGAATGTCACAAAAAGTTACGAAACATTTTAAAGAGACATATTGAAGCAAAATTAAATAACTCACGTACTAAATTGATCTCAAGTTATTTAAGCACGTACACTAATTTACTACAAATACGTTTCTCTACTTTAGTCATATATATATGCCAGGACACGGGCCATGAAATGTGCAGTATAGAGGTATGGTGGGTGCTTTCTCTGCTGAGTTGCTCTGCCATCATCGCAAAGATTGAAGACGGCCGAAGTACAGGTCACTGAAGACGCAGTAACGTTCTGCGCAGGATGGAGATGACGCGAAGTTCAGACTCCAGAAATACGGGCTGCAATCGAACTATAGAAGCAACTACAACCTCCTGTATTTCACAGGCATCTCTATTTAATAATAATGGCCCTTTTCAAGGCCTTAAATTCATTCTAGTCTTATTCACTCCAGAAGTGATAATGTCGATGCGATAATAAAATACCATTTTCTATTTTACCCAGACCTACAAACAACATTTCATTATATTCCTAGTTTCGTTCGTAGCTTTGATAAATGCGAAATTATTCGTTGCTTTCGAAACTCCTTCTCGTATAGTAGAATATTGATTGCTGATTGTCTCAGTTAAGAAGTACTACGATGGCTGAATTAACAAAATTTTGTAAATTCATAAAGTAGAAACCATTAACTAAAATGTAGCTTACGTGTTTTCGAAAATTTTAATAATGGTAAAAATGATCGTCGTTTCAAGACGTTCACAAATACGCTGTTCTATGTGGTCGAGAATCCTATGGGGCGAAAAATGCAATTCGAATATCGCGTCACGGGTTTTATATGGAGCACCAGGCATATGGATGCGCGAAAAGAGTGAGAAAGCAAGCACGGTAAAGCGAGACGGCCTAGTTATCTCGTTCGCGTGGACATTCACACATAGAACCCGCTGGTTTCATTCTGTCTCTCTCGATCATCTCCCGTTCTCTTTCTAAAGCAACTGCACGGACCTGGATGTGCAACAAAATGGTGGGGATAAAATATTATTCGGAGACAGAATTGCTTACTATTATGTATGAATCAAATAATACAAATATTAGAAAAACTCGCTACTTTTCAAGCTTATTCTACAAGCTCTAATTTAAATTGTGCTTAAATTAATATGATTTTATAACTATGTATTTAAGGTAGTCCATAAAGTTTTAATGTCCTGTCCATACTAGTTGATGCTATGTACTGTGTGCATGCTTTCCAAAACGAATACCAGTCGCGGCTGCTGTGTGATCATTGAACACTTTCGGTTCTTGCCATTGCTTGCACAAGTACACTCTGAAACAGAATACAAATAAGTAGTAACATAATTCAGTAACAATCGAACGGTCAATGGAGCGCGACATTCACCTCACGTCTATTCCAACGACTGCTAAATATGTGCCGCTTAGATCGAAGCAAATATCTTTGACTTCATACGATTCTTGTAATCGAAGTGTCTTGAAGTTTTTAAACTTGAGTAAATCCCACAATTTCACATAAGAGTCCTCAGCAGCACTAGCTAAATAGTAACCGTTTTCGGAGAAACTAATTACTGTAATTGGTCCCGAGTGGCCAGGGAAATTAGCTACGTTTGACTATTCTTTCAAATCCCAAATCTTCACCTGAAAGTTCGCAGTACCGATGCCGAAAATCAATCCATCGGGATGGAACTGAGCCGTAGTCAAAGGTATTTATTTATGGTCAAAGGTAGATATTAAAATACAAACCATGAGTACCAAGAGATTCTAAAGACGTAGAAATACAGGAACGATTTATATACCTTCTTGGTATGTCCGTTTAATATGTCGACTACTTGTTCTGTGTCTTTATTAAATACTGTAGCGTTTTTGTCAGCACCACCAGTTAAAATCTTACTAGTATCTGCACTATGAATATCTAATGCTAATATACCAGGTACACTGGCAGAGTGAAAACCCTTGAACAAATAAAAATTATGATAATATGCTCAGAAACTTTGAATAAACCAAAATTGAGCAAAGAAAGTTACAGGATGTGACGCGAGTGTCTGAAAAGCGCGAATACTATCTTACGGCATCAAATCTTCAAAGCCTGAACTTCCGCGACGTTTCCTTTCCTGTGTGAGCACTGTAGCCCTTTCTTGAAGTTTCCATATTACATCGTCGATAATACCAGCTTGTTCCATGGGTTGGGCTGCAATGCCACCAGCTTCAATTGTAATTACCTACACAACATAGCATGTTTTATAACACAGGTCTTACTACGGTAAATTCTCCCCAATTGTCCTTCAGCTTGTAAATAAACACCGATTGTCAACAACTATAAAAACAAGGTACAAGGCTTGAATAATCGTATTTCCTCTTTTCAAATTGTCCACATTTGTTTACAAGCTAAAGGACAATTAGGAACAATTATACATAAGGATAATATATATTTTTCATACACATTGTGGAATGGTGGTAGCTTACACAATTTTAGCCTGTGGTTTCAAAGTAGCCAAAACTTCTCTTGCTGCAGTAATTTCTTTTGTCAGTCTATAGCAATTACATGGCAAACTGCATCATGCTGACACAAGGCATAAGATAATTCTTGCCTAGCTGTCTAAAGCTGTTGTCTGAGCGTAAAAGAATGTAACATCATAGCGTCTCATTCATCTTGCAGAATTTTTAATATAGCTGGGATAGATGTGGCACCTGGTGGTTTAGGCTTAACTATTGGAGTAGCTGTAAGAGAACATAAGAAGAGAATATCGACGAAAGATCGTCTGTCCAAGATAAAGGTTTAACAACATAACATTCTTTTGACATCGATAAGCTGTTCAATGGTCAATTCTTTTCCTGTTATAGGATCTACTCCATTTTCTTTTACGATTCGCGACTTTTCGATTAAACGCGTTTTGTCATATCACACAGGTGATATGACGGGGTGTTCCGGCATTTCATTGGAAACTAAAAATTCAGTTAGTTGTAGAAAACAACGATGGTAATGTGAAGCATTTTAGGTTATGTTCAGTGTTTGCCGGCATCAGCTTCAATATTTATCAAAAAATACGATTTATTTCAAATCATTTGTTGTAAGCTATCTATGCGAATCTAATATAAATATGTAATCTATAGACCTAATTGAAAAATATTAATTAAAAGAAGAAAACTTTACTCGCACAAGAAAGCGCCATTTTCACACATACGAAATGTACTGACTGTGCAAGCCATTTAAGTCATCCACTACTTTCATCAATTTTTGTATAAATTTAAACAATTTGCATAAACAGTTGATGATTCATGCATTTTACAAGAAAATATTTATGAGTTGCATTAAAAATGCTGTAAAATATTTAAATTACAAATATATTACAATGCACAAAATGAAAATACAATGTAAAATAACGATAATAAAAACTTATTTTTCGTAAAAGAAAATAATTTGTAAATAACAAATCGTGTAAATAACATCGAAAGAAATAATATCTACATAATAACGATTTTTTGCCAAACACTGTAGACAGTGCTGTCTTCTATGTCAGCCACCCAAGAGTTGGGTGCCAATGCATTAGGTTACTCCTCTTTGCAATAACGTATTGTTAACATGCTTCCAACATTTTTGTTACAACAAACTGAGATAAATCATAATAAATTAATGCCCATTTTAAAAAATAGTGGAGCAAATATTTTATGATGAACATGTAATGAGACTATGTACCGTGAAGGATGGAAAATATAGCTGTCTAAATATCTTCTCCCTCTCAATATTAGCCAATTGTATTAAATTAGCTAATAAACATAGCACATAGCTACATCCAGATGCATTAGAAACCATCATTAAATTCTGCTCGGAATTTAACAAGTCCATACTTCGAGCAAACAAATTGTAGTAAAAATTAGTATATAGTTTAAAAACATAGGATTTGAACTGGTATTACATAATATACCTTTGAGGACACATTGTTCAGGTGATAGATCAGTGCAAAAACACTGAAAACATTAATCAAAAGCAGTGATACTAATTTATCCGACATTTGGGAAGAAATTAATGGCTTCATTGCTAATATAATGGCTATTGTAAGTGTAACTGGTTTCAAAGCAAAACTTCATTGGAAAACCTAAAACAAAAGGAATTAAATGAATAAATTTGGATCATGTTTAGAATTATTGTTATTAATTACCTGCATAGTTGGGTAAAACCCATTGTTGACTAGGTGGCCCATTATATTTGCATAAAGTTGATTCATTCCAGCTCACAATACCTCTATTCCTTCTACTTTTTGTATTGTCCATGTTGTTGGAGATGTAAAACTAATGTGCTCAATCTCAAAAGGATGAATTTATGGTCAGATGCTTCTTTTGGATTAAGATAATCCAACCCCTTGAGACAATAAAGAAGCAACTTTTTCATCTATAATATCCATGATATGTAGCGATCTTTGATCAGCAGTCCTATGTACGAAGCTGTGATGTCACATTCTTTTACGCTTAGACAGCAGCTTCAGATAGCTAGGTAAGAATTATCTCACGCCTCGTATCAGCATAATGCAGCTTGCCCTGTAATTACTAGATTGACAGAAGAAGTTACTGCAGCAAGAGAAGCTTTGGCTACTTTTAAACCATAGGCTGGAATTGTGTAAGCTACCATCATTCCACAATGTGTATGAAAAATATATATTATCCTTATGTATAATTGTTCCTAATTGTCCTTTAGCTTGTAAACAAATATGGACAATTTGAAAAGAGGAAATACGATTATACAAGCCTTGTGCCTTATTTTTATAGTTATTGACAATTGGTGTTTATTTACAAGCTGAAAGACAATTAGGGAGAATTTACTATAATAAGATCTGTGTTATAAAACACGTTGTTACATGCAGTTGCAATTGAAGCTGGTGGCATTGCAGCCCAACCCATGGAACAAGCTGATATTACCGAGGATGTAATAAGGAAATTACAAGAAAGGGCTATAGTGCTCACACAGGTAAGGAAACGTCGCGGACGTTCAGTCCCTGAAGATTTGATGCCGTAAGATAGTATTCGCGCTTTCCAGACACTCGCGTCACATTCTGTAACTTCCTTTGCTCAATTTTGGTTTATTGAAAGCTTCTGAGCATATTATCATAATTTTTATTTGTTCAAGGGTCTTCACTCTGCCAGTATACCTAGTATACTAGCATTAGATATTCATAATGCAGATACTACTAAGATTTTAACTGGTGGTGCTGACAAAAATGCTACAGTATTCAATAAAAACACAGAGCAAGTAGTCGCCATATTAAAAGGACAAAATACACTGGACTCTGTGGTCAAGAATCCTATGTGACGAAAAGTACAAGTCGAATATCGCGCCAAGTGTCTCAGATGGAGCATTAGGCATACGGATGTGCGAAAAGACCGCAAGCACGAAAAAGTTACATCGATCATCGGTGCGACTTACTTCGCTTGTCGCTTCTTCTTTTTGCTAGAACTGCGAGGGTAGCACTGTTTAGCTGTGAAGCATCAACCAATCAGATTTCTCTACCTACTTCATAATTCTAAGCCGTTTGTTCCTGCTTGGCTTACTATCGTGAAACACTACTCTATTGTATTTAAAAGTTACTTTTATTTATATACATACATGCTTATATACTAAAGATAACTTTACAATTGCGTCGCTAGGTGGGGGTTTCTTCAAGTATACTATTTTACGTAGATGTTTCACCATCTGCTTTTCAATGCCTTTGCACTAGCTTCAAACTGAGCGTTTCGATTGGAGAATCATATTTGTCGCTTCCTACTATTTCCGTATTGAAAATTTTCCAAGTTGACGTTGAATAGCAACTAACTAGCCTAATTTGGTTGATTATTCTTGTATACAATGTTCTACTACAAATATGACAATAGACGAGCAATTTAAGTGATTTATAGAAAAAATATACTTGTAAAGTGCATAATTATGTGACTAAATGTAAGAGATCGTAGTATAAAAAAAAATGTTTCATCACGAATATGAGAAACGGCTGTTGAAGTCGAACAGCGAGAGTCATATAGATAATCTGGCAGGTTCCGGACTTTATTCGTCAGTATATTTTTCACCGAATAAAATGGTGAATAATCGCTTCGATCGATTTATACCAACAAGATCTGGCAATAATTGGCAGACAACTTTTTCAATGATATCAGAAAACAATCGAAACGGCATAGTCACAAAAAAAGCTCGTGAACTTGGGGAAGGTAGCCGTGACGGCATTGCTTACTCTTGTCTTTTGAAGAATGAATTACTTGGTGCCAGCATAGAAGATGTAAAAGGACAATGTGAAGAAAGAAGAGTACTTTCACCACTAGTTACCAAGAACCTTTTCAAATATACAACACCCACAAAAGACCACACTCTATTAGATCAGAGTTTACCTTATTCTCTATCACCACTAAGTGCTAAAAGTCAAAAACTTTTAAGATCACCCAGAAAGGCAACTAGAAAGATATCTAGAATACCTTTTAAAGTACTTGATGCTCCAGAATTGCAAGATGATTTTTATTTAAATCTTGTGGATTGGTCGTCACAAAATGTTCTCAGTGTTGGCTTAGGTAGCTGTGTCTACCTATGGTCTGCGTGTACAAGTCAGGTGACTAGACTGTGTGATCTCTCCAACGATGGAAATAGTATAACATCAGTTGCTTGGAATGAAAGAGGAAACTTGGTTGCAGTTGGTACGAATCTAGGCTATATCCAAGTATGGGATGTAGCTGTAAATAAACAAGTAAGCAAGCTGCAAGGACATAGTGCAAGAGTTGGAGCCTTAGCTTGGAATGGTGAAGTTTTATCATCTGGTAGCAGAGACAGGTTAATATTGCAAAGAGATGTTAGAACTCCTTGTGTCGTCAATGAAAGGCGTTTAGGAGCTCACAGGCAAGAAGTCTGCGGACTTAAATGGTCTCCAGATAACCAGTATTTGGCATCTGGTGGTAACGACAATCGACTTTATGTATGGAATTTACATTCCCTTTCGCCCATACAAACTTATACAGAACATTTAGCAGCCGTTAAAGCTATTGCATGGTCGCCACATCATCATGGCCTATTAGCATCTGGAGGAGGAACAGCTGATAGATGCATCAGATTTTGGAATACTCTAACTGGTCAGCCAATGCAATGCATTGACACGGGATCTCAAGTCTGTAATTTAGCATGGAGTCAGCATAGTTCAGAACTAGTCAGTACACATGGTTACTCTCAAAATCAAATTTTGGTTTGGAAGTATCCCAGTTTGATACAAGTTGCAAAATTAACTGGACACTCATACAGGGTTTTGTATTTAGCAATGTCACCAGATGGTGAAGCAATTGTAACTGGTGCTGGCGATGAAACTTTGCGTTTTTGGAATGTGTTTAGTAAAGCACGCAGTCAAAAAGAAAATAAGTCTGTACTGAATCTCTTTACTAGTATTCGATAACTTTGATAAATTTCTATAAAAAGGTAATGATTTCATGTATAATATACATATGTTTTATGTATGATATCTATATAAGTGCGAATATGTGCAAGTACACAACACAAAACATATGTATGTGTATAATATATATATACATACTACAAATGCACGAATATAGTATTTTTAAAAATTATAAAGTATACAATATATATAGCTGTAATAACATATAAGTAAAAACAAATTGTAAGAACTTGTAGATTAAGTTTATATATGCACAATTTACATTTATAGAATTTTATGTGCAATAAGTTATTTGTAGAAGTTAAATATGCCCTTATGAGGAAATCTAAAAACAATATTATTTTTATATATTTTTTATACATAACACATTGAAATCTCTTAAAGAACCTTATTAAAAGTTTATAGTAAGTCTTGTAAACACAGTACATGCTACTTTTGTGAATCATATATTTTTTTGTTTTATTTTTATTATCCTTATTAATTATGTTATACCTACAGAGAGTACAATTATATTACTTTCATTGTGACCGGATTTATCACGTAGTATCTATTGGTAAATTAAATGCAATCCATACAATAATACAATGCTCTTCATGAATTATTTATAACTCTCTCTGCTCTGTTTCCATTCACTCTATAAGTGTATTAGACTTCAACGCAATATTGTATGTAGTAGAGATGGGAAGGAAGCGATTTAAAGAGTTATATTCATGAATAGCACTAATAAAATTCCTTCCAAGGGCGTATTATTCTATTTCTGTAGGATTTTGAAACACTTA